TTTCAGAGAGATCAAGTTTTACCAGGGATGCACAGTAGTAAATAATATGCAGTCGAAGCTCCTGACATTTGGTAGGTAGAAGCTTTTAATATTTCAGTGTCTTTTATCGGTCTCTCAGCCCCACATCCTTATGGAGCTCATTTAAAAACTGTTCACATTAAGCTAATTAGAATTGAGTGTCTGTGTGTCAATGTGGTGTGCACTCAGGTTTATTCTAAGTCCTTAATGTACTTATGTGAGTTCAAGGAAAATGCCTGTCTAAAAACATTAAAAATTATAAAGCCATACTCAAATCAATGCATATATAAACCACCCTATAAGCCACAAGGAAATCTTTGGGCAATTACTGAGAACATGCTCTTCAGTATTTCCTATTACACTTACAGCCATGATAACCATGAGAGCCGTGATGAGGGCAAAGATAAAGATCTTTGTATCTGTCAGCGTCCTGTGAAAGCAAGTGTGAAAAATCAGTAGCACACTCACTCCTGCATTTACAAACCAAACAGCTACTGACCAAACAGCTCCAAAACTTTATGAAACATACTAGAAGTATGAAGACCATCAAAACACATTGCCTGACATCATGGAACTGAGAGACTAGTAGGGGACATTGATAAGTAAAGAAAAGTGATGTGATAAGGAAATGGTAAAGTGCTGTAAAAATGCACCCCATTTGGCCAGTGTAGGCATCTGTGCCATGCCACTCCCTGGCCTTTGGGTCCAGTCTTGCATCCACCCTGCAATAGGATAGGTGGTTATTACCTTGGTTGTAGCTGTACTGGTGTGATGGGTTTGTAGCTAGCAAGGTGTGGTACACAGGAGCCAGTTACTTCTCTATCAAGATGTACCGGACCTCTGCTCCTTTCCATAGTTGGGACCAGAATCCAATAGGCTGCCACATCTGGTCAAGCATCTGCTGAAGACCCCACCCATAACCATCTTCAGTTACATGAAAATATTACATGGTACCACACAGCAACAGGACTAAATAATATTTCTCTATTAATTAGTTTGTTGACTTAGAAGGAAATCTTACCTCAGTAGACAAGCTGCTAGAAAATTCCTTAAATGATTATTTTCTAAAAGATCACAATCTGATACCAGGGAATATTGAAATCTCACCATTATTTGTTGAATACCACGAGGACTTGAAATCTTTCTCATATTATGAACATAATCATTAGTGTATCAAGTAAAAGGAAGAATTGAATTAACAGTTTTAGCTTATAAAATCAATGAAATCTGTTTATTTAGCTCTTGATTACAAAGAGGTTCAGAACAGGCCTCTCCAAAATGTGCCACTTTGTCCATGAACAATTTTGAGCTGAAGGCAATCCAGACCTTGCAGCCTCCAGAGACACTTTTGCACCTCCCTTAATTACCTAGAAGAATCTAAATTGGATTCTTGTACCAGAGATAAATTTCATGAGTGACGTATCTGTACCGTGGGGCAAACATCTGATTGCTGAACATATGCTCTGCTTATAGCCCTATAAACTTCCCTCTTCCCTTCTGAAGCCCCTATCTCCTTCCTTAGCATATATATCTTCCTTAGCATATATATCTTCCTTGGCATATATATCTCATTTTACCTTCTGTCTGTAAACTGCTCATGTATGTGGGGTTCTTGTATGTATGAAATTAAATTTGATTCTCTCCTGTTAATCTCTCACATTAATTTGATTCTTCAATCAGCAAAAAGAATCTTGAAGGGTAGAGGAAAATTTTTCCTCTCCAACAATTGTTTAATTGCTCTTGGGAAAAAAAGGTAGAAGAGATAATAAATACCTTATTTTTCAGTGGAAGAATCTTAACTGAAGAATTCAGGACAATTGAGAAGGCAATTTAACAATCTTTCTCTAACTCATTAACAATACTATAAATACACAAATAGATTTTGAGAATACAAATTATACAGACTTCTAATATATTTTTGTAAATAGAAATATCTTACCACATCGTCAATCTTCTTCGGGGTTTTCTTAAGAAAAAAATAGACTTATTATTCCTATAATATTCATTATAGAGCCTGTATTTTATTATAAAGAGAAAAAATTAATTATTTTTTGCACTTTATTACTGCTTGTAATGACAGAAATTTTGTGAGTTTGTGGACTGCTCTATCTTCAGAGCCTTAGAAGAATGTCTGGCATGAAGTATATGCTCTATAAATATTTGTTACATTAACAATATAAATGTACAAGATGATTTTAGGCAATACATGAAGGGAAGGGCTTTTAAGATTTTATGATTAATGTGTATTAGAAAACTATACATATAACTACATAGTAAACCTGTGACTTGGGTTAATATTATATAAAGCTTCTATTTAAAATGAACTGTTTAAAGAGTATGAGTTTAAAATATTAAGTATAGCCTAGATAGGAAATGAATATAGCAAACATTTGGAATGTCAAGTATGGGAAATACTTGCTTGTAACAATGAAACTTACTCAATGACAAGCTCTCCATTACTTTAGAGAATTCAAGAAGCTAGATGATTAATGGAGCTTTCCAAGAATACACCTATATTAACTAAACTATACAAGGAATTTAACCAAAAGAGTGTTTTTTCTACTCATAGTTAAAAAATATATATTTTAAGTTTACCCCTATTGCTTAGTCACCAGAACTACACTATAAAAGGAAAAAATTAATTTTTAATTGGTATGTATATTATCAAAAAGATTATACGCACATCTACATACAATAATTTACGTAAATACATGCTATGGTATTATTGCCAAAAACAGGTATATCATCTTAGTTTTCCCAATTGTGAGAATAGTTTGAGATCATAACTTTTAACTTACGTGTGTTGACAAATATACGCAGCTCTGTTGAACACAGTGGTTTATTTCCTTAGAAAAAAATGGAGATTTTTTACAAAAAAGTGAAGTGTTTAAGAGCTTTTTATTAATTCTGGAGTTGAATTCATCCAAGAATCTCAGTTAATAAATCTGACTTTGTCTTAGAGCCAAGTCTTTTCTATGTGAGGTCAAATAGCAACTAGTTCAGACCTCACAGAACATACAGTGTCTGTCACAACGATTCAACGCCGCTGTAGCACAAAGGCCAAAGCATCACAAAAAACGTGCAAAAGAAGAGGTGTGCCTGGGTGCTAGTAAAATTTTTTTTACAGACACTGAAATCTGAATTTCATATGCTTTTCACATGTCACAAAATCTCATTCTTCTTTTGACACTTTTCAATGATTTAAATATGTTTTAAAAAACTATTGGTTGTGGTCCACAGTCTATAGTTTCCATCCTCTGCCTCAAAGCTTATGGGCAAATGTGTGAGAAGTGAACACAAAATCTAAATCCATGGGGCAGCTAGAGAGAACAGAGGAAAAAAGAATGGAGGCCATGCATTCGCACCCTGTGGAAATGCATTTTCTAATCATGCGGACCGAACGATTAAAAAGGATTCGTTTCATGAAAAATCAAGATTCGTATCTCAAGCTCCAGGCATTCTGTCTAATATGCGTAACATCCTTGACTTAAGAATATTGATACTCAACCTTTCTGACAATAAATTCAAAATCCAAGACAGCAGTACCTGAAGTTATGTAAAAAGAATAAATTTATTAAATGTGAACAGGTATGCCTGGTTTTCAAATTTGCTTTGTCTTCTTTATCCATCTTCTTAATTTAAATCCAGGTAAAATGAGGAGAATATTTTCAATTCATGTTGTGATGACATGAGTCAAGGTGCTGTACCTCATAGATTGTGGATTGGATGCCCTTCTGAAAAGAAATAGAAAATCAATGTTGGTTTAACTTTCAATTTAAGAGAAAACTATCAACTACAATAATGTCAGGATAGTATTCCTTGGAATTAAATAAAATAGTAGGTAAGGAAATATAAAATTGTGACCAAAAGAGTACAGCATTGAGAAAAGCAAGTGAAGGTGGTGGAACATTCATACCTCCTGTCAGAGAGGTCTCACTGTGACAATGTGGCTCTCACACGGCCCTGGAGTATGCGCCCCTTCCTGAGATCCCTTCACACAGGCCTGAGACTGAGGGAGCTATGAAGCAATACCACCTGCACATTCATTCTAGGTGAGTGAGAGAGTTATTTAGAATTACTGGAATAAGATGTATTTCATCAAATAAAAAATGAACAAAGTAATGAAAATAAATTTTACCTGACTAGGAAAGATGTCCAGTCTTGACCTATGCATGTTTCTGCAAAATAAATTATGTTTAGTGTAATAATTCTGACATTACAAGGGGAAAATTTTTTTTGATGACTTACTTTCTCACATCATTTTCCACATATCTCAAAGAAACAGAATGACTGCATTATCTAGAAATTCCTTGCCTCTATCTGAATTATAATGTAAATCATAGTATAGAGTCAAAATTTTTCTATGTACAATGTTCAATTTTCTCCAAGTAACTAACTCATTATATTCCAGAGAACTGATTCCTTCTCTTCTAGGGCTCAGCTACAGTGGACATAGCTACAGCTCGTTTTGCAAAAACCAACAACTATGGGAAGATATTTTTAATTTTTCTTCAAGATTGCTTTTCTCTTTATTAGAGATAAAGTATCTAGCAAGCAACTGAAGCAAATCCATCAGTGCTATTGGGATTAGCTCTTTAATGGAACCAGAAAAACATGAGTCTTGTTTCAGAATCCACTTTGTCTCAGTTTAAAACTTATATTTAACATGATGACTGGAGTGAAATCATTACTGCTATATGGTGATCTCTAGAAAATTAAAGAGGAAAATTGTGAGGATTTCAACAATGCACAAATCTAATGTGGTGCTTTAGGTACTGTTGTTACTCAGAGCCGGAATACTGTACTTAGTTCCTGACTTCACTGGATGAGGGGAACTCCGTGTTCTTTTAGACAGAAATAAAAAAGAACAAATTTCAATCTTTTGGCTCCTTTGTAAAGCTTAACTGAACCTATGGTTTTTCCTTTTTTCATTTAGTGAGGAAAGATCTTCACAAAACTGTATGTGGGGTGGTGGTGAGGGGTGAGGGGTGGTGGGGGTGGTAACTGATGTAGGTTCATTTCCAAAGTCGTCTACAATATAAGCATTCAAAAT